TTCAAGTTCGTTAAGGACATCCAATCTTGGAAAACAAATCTTCTCTGCTGAACAATCTTTGATTCAGACTTCAAGGTTTTGAAGATTAGGAAACCTTTTGAAAATAATATCCTCCGTGTCTTCTGAACCAGGAAGGTAGATCACATATAATCTTCTCAAATTTTCTAACCTTAAATCCTCATCTAACACAGTTGGTTCGTTGATGTCCGGATCAAAGAGAGTACAACACTCCATCCGCACATCTCGTAGCTTTGCAAGACTCCAAAAACAAGGTGATAGTACCATGCATGATCCCTCCAGGTTATTCACCACCAGAGTTTCTAGATTGCAGAGGTTTGAAAATGACGGAGGGAGAGCTTTAGCCTTCGTCCGAATGATTAAGTATTTCAAATGAACGAGCATACCAATTTCATTCAGCAAAGAATCTGTCAATGTTATGCCCTTCAAATCCAAACTTTTGAGAAGCCTCAAGTGTTTTAGGTGACTCTTGTAGGAAAGACAAGCCTTAAACCCATAAATCACCTTCAGAGAGAGGAGGTGTTTAGCATAAGGATTCTTCTCTTCTGGATTAAACACCACAAAATTTTCATCCAAATCAAAGAGACGTTGATCATAACGAATGGTAATTCCTCGTGCCATCATACCAGAAGAAGAAAACGGAGCGTTTGAACCTCCTATGAAGTCAAACAACTTTTCCTTTCTAGATTTTATATAACAAAAGTCATGCACAAGATCATGAATTTTGCAAATAGAATTATCGAAAGGTATTACCAAGCTACTGGAAATTAACTCATCCACTACTTCTTCTGCACTTTTCATCTCAATCTCTGCTCCACAAGTCCTTGAACAAACAAATCTTTCAACTCAGAGATCCATAATATATCTGTGTCCTTTGGATAACTTGCAAGGCAAACCAAACACGGCTTTACGTGATCTGACAAATGGTCATAACAAATCCCACTTTTGGAAGGTAAAGCATTTCCTACCAAAGGTGACTTCATAACTCAATACTTGAACTCGAGACTTTCATCCATCTTTTTATAATAGAAAAACAACATAACCTTAAATTTTCTTTTACACCTTTAATGAAACGTTATACAACCACAAATTTCAAAAGACCTTTTATTCTTAAGATTTATGTCTAGTCAAACAATACCACATAAACTGAAACCGGACTAATAGTACATGTTATCAATAAGATATTATTACCTTGGGAAATTGACTTCCTATCCTTCATGGAATTGCATATTGTTGGAAAAACAGTATGACCACAATAACAAAATGTATACATACTTATTGCACTTATCAATCCATCCCATCTCCAAATCACACCTTTTTCTTCAAATCCAATACCATCAATTGCACCAACCCAAAATATTGAAAAAACCAAAACAATTGAAGCCAAAACTCCACCACTAGAAACATAAGCCAATAAGCCTAAACTTTTAAACCATGTTGTTGGCAATATTATAATAGCAACTAATAACACAAAAACTTCCCTTCCAACAATTTTAACACAACCAACATGAATTTTTGCATTTGGGAATAATTTTTGCAAATTGTCACCTTCTAATATGAGGAATTTAATTGCAACAAAGTATAGTTCAAGATATAAGAAAATTGATATCAAGATTCTTCCTTCGTTACCAAAAGCAAATTCACCAATATCAGGATATGTATTGATTGATGGTGAAACACTCATGCATTTTTGTAAAAGTATTCCTGTGTAACAACATATAATTGCTACTAAAAAAAGTAGCATCAAACATAACCATCCTCCTTGTGAAAGTGCATAGGGTACTGATATTATTCCAATACCTATATGAAAGAAGAAAAAAAGAGTTCAAGTTTTATGTATCGAGTTATTGAATATTTATACAGTCAGGTCACTTATAAGGCGATTACTGATAAATTTATCTATGTGATCATAAGCATAGGTAAGATGATAGAAATAATAACAAGTAACTCGTTATAACAGGTTGAACAATACTAATAACGTAAAAAAAACATTTACTCTGTCGGTGCATATAACTTCAATTAAAGTACTATACAATTACATATTAAGTGAAATTCCATAAGTGGGGTCTGCAGAAGGTATATATTTGGTGTATATACGCAACCTAATCCCTACCCTATGAAGATGGAGAGGTTGTTTCTGATAGACCCTCGGCTCAAGTAAAGCATAACAAAACAAGAAAGAAAAGAGTATA